AACATTCCAGCCCCCCGCCCCCAATTTATTTTTAGCATAAATGGGTAGCTTAACCCACCATATAAACCAGTCCTGTCCCTAAACTTCGAAGTGTAAAGATTAAAACCATTCAACAACATAACCTCACTACTCACTCCCCTAATTCCCTGGAGAAAAGGGTTTGGCTTTCTCCACCATATTGTCCCTCCTTTTTCTACGACAAAAAATGCAGCTAAGTCAACCATACAACAGTCATGCCTCTCACCTGTTTAGTGTAAAGGGTAGCTAAGTCAACGATATAACAGTCCTGCCTCTCACCTGTGTAGGGTAAAGGGTAGCTAAGTCAACCATTTAACAGTCCTGCCTCTCACCTCCTAAGTGTAAAGGGTAGCTAAGTCAACGATATAACAGTCCTGCCTCTCACCTGTTTAGAGTAAAGGGTAGCTAATTCAACCATACACCAGTCCTGCCTCTCTCCTCCTTAGTGTAAAGGGTAGCTAAATCAACCATACACCAGTCCTGCCTCTCTCCTCCTTAGTGTAAAGGGTAGCTAAGCCAACCATACGCCAGTCCTGCCTCTCACCTCCTTAGTGAAAAGGATAGCAAAGTCAACCATAAAACAGTCCTGCCTCTCACCTCCTTTGTGTAAAGGATAGCTAAGTCAACCATATAACAGCCCGGCCTCTAACCTTAATGTAAAGGGTAGTTACGTCAACCATATAACAGTCCTCCCTCTCACCTCCTTAGTGTAAAGGATAGCTAAGTCAACCATATAACAGTCCACCCTCTCACCTTAATGTAAAGGGTAGCTAAGTCAACCATTTAACAGTCCTGCCTCTCACCTCCTAAGTGTAAAGGGTAGCTAATTCAACCATACAACAGTCCTGCCTCTCACCTTAGTGTAAAAAGTAGTTAAGTCAACCATATAACAGTCCTGTCTCTCACCTCCTTAGTGTAAAGGATAGCTAAGTCAACCATATAACAGTCCGGCCTCTAACCTTAATGTAAAGGGTAGCTACGTCAACCATACAACAGTCCTGCCTCTCACCTGTTTAGTGTAAAGGGTAACTAAGTCAACCATTTAACAGTCCTGCCTCTCACCTCCTAAGTGTAAAGGGTAGCTAAGTCAACGATATAACAGTCCTGCCTCTCACCTGTGTAGGGTAAAGGGTAGCTAAGTCAACCATATAACAGTCCGGCCTCTAACCTTAATGTAAAGGGTAGTTACGTCAACCATATAACAGTCCACCCTCTCACCTTAATGTAAAGGGTAGCTAAGTCAACCATACAACAGTCCGGCCTCTCACCTTAATCTAAAGGGTAGCTAAGTCAACCATATAACATTCCAATGCCCCCCTCCTTCATTTTTATTGTAAAAGGCAGCTAAGGTCAGCTGGTCTGAGGTGACATGTGGCCAGTGCTATATATCATGTGTCCCTGGTCAGTAATGGACAGCCCGTAGTCCCCTATTGACCCCCTGTCACACATCCCAGCCAGCCACAATAGCACTGTGGCAACAATGCCAGGACATTACCGTTTATGGCGTTGCTCATAAAAACAGTGTTACCAAGAGATGAAGAAACAATCGCAGCAAGCTGTCCAACATCAATACGATTATCTTTTGTGGGACTTTTTTCTCACCATGTTGTCATAAATTGCAGTTGGGATTATGGGCATTGTGAGGTACAATGTTTTAAGCAATATCTGGTATTAGACTGGATGCTACTTGGGATTAATTCTGATTTATTTAGTTCAGCTTAGCTAAAGCTAAGAGGGCACTGTGTGATCCTACTGCAGATGTATCAAAACTTCACTCTCCCGACCAAGGTGCTAAAACTTCACTCTCCCGGCCAAGGTCCTAAAACTTCACTCTCTCGACCAAGGTCCTAAAACTTCTCCCTCCCGACCAAGGTCCTAAAACTTCACCCTCGCGACCAAGGTCCTAAAACTTCGCTCTCCCGACCAAGGTGCTAAAACTTCTCTCTCCCGACCAAGGTGCTAAAACTTCTCTCTCCCGACCAAGGTCCTAAAACTTCCCTCTCCCGACCAAGGTCCTAAAACTTCACTCTCCCGACCAAGGTCCTAAAACTGACGTTTAAAACTTACAGACACAACTAGGTGAAGAAAGTTTGTGTATTCACTGTTACTGACAGGGCTACAATATAACACAAGGTTGTACTGTTCTTTCTACTTCTATAAAAGGTATGTTTATATTGAAAGTCCCTTTCCTTCCCACCTTATCATTGTCCACTTAGTATTAAGGAGTCTACAATGACATTTGTGTGGTTTATCAATAATTCTTTAGAATTCACAAATGTCGGCCATGTTTTTACAAAACTAGAAGAAAAAATCACCAAAATGCTAAAAATGCCAACTGCAATAAATCTAAAAGGGCAATAAAAATTGTAAGAGCGAGCAGAAGTTTCAGGGTTTTTTTTCTGTTCTGGTATCTGTGAGAAAGGTTTGGGGTTAAGATCTTGACAGAAAACAAATCATAATAGCTTTCTGCAGTATGTTTTGAAAATGTTTTCTTTATCCAGCAGGCAGAAAACTCCTACTTTCATCACTTTCTCATAAATCACTGATATCCAGCCGAATTTATTACCTAAACAAGATAGTCTCTATGGTGAGGACTTATCAACTGGCAAGGATCTCAACCAATAAAAGTCTAATTGGGAACAAGCTGTAAAGAGAATTTGTTTCTCCATTGATGCTTGGCGAACATTGAGGGATAAAACAGGTAAACACATCCATCAGAGATCTATAGCATTGTCAACAGATAGCAGGTGAGTTGTCATCTCTCTCCAGCCATTTCTATCTCATTACCTAATTATAAAAAAACAGTGGTTTCTACGGCATTATCTCCGCCTTTCTTAACAAGAAACATTTGTGGCTGTTACTCTCAAAATTCTTCAATACTGTCATAATTCAAATAATAATATTATTAGGAAATCTGATGTTTGACCAAAAAAACCCTTTATAATGAACGTTTTGGTACAATTCTTTTGCTGTTAGATAATAGTAATCCGAAATAAAAAAAACTTACAGTAAAATTAGATAGCAGAAATATTCATAATTAATTGGGATCTTCAGTTAATTGACTTGATATCACCTAATTACTATGTACACTGCTAAGTGAGTAATAGAAATAAAAAGGTAGCCTATTATGTACGGCCAAGTTAATTAGATCCCATGGTACAGCACGGACACTTTCTACTTACGATTGTAAATCAATAGTTAATTACTAAGAATCGGCCAAACTCGTTATTAATCATTAATGAACAAACATGGACTGACTTTACTGGAGTCTGACTCTGTGCCATGGGCAGTGCTCTAGGGTAATTTCAGTGTCACTGGCTCTGTAATTTGCGTGAAATGGACATGAGCTCCTGGGAAAGCCAATTGTCATGGAACATATAATTTCTAAGCAGTAGCTATCACATGAGTATACACTTCTTAATTTCTTCTGCCAACCACTTGGAATTTTTTGCACAGAATTAAATGCTTTTTCTTGCCAACAGCTGTTTTTGGATGACCAACAGGGGAAATAAATGACCAAGTCAAGATAAATATTGGCTTTGGGAATGGGCAATTCTTGGCAGCTGGGATGACGTGGAGGGTAGTAGAGACCCGTACTTTGGTCCTCAGGTCTTGGCTGGTATCATTCAACCCGGCAATGATGTCTTCAGTAACCCTTCTTTGAGTGACAGCCGGATGGAACGTAAATTGTGCTTTTTCCGTTTGTGATTATAATCTGTGAGTTTTTAAGCTCTTTTCTGTTTGCACAATGAATGGAAACAAACTGTTGGTTGTTCTCATTGTACAACAAGTATAAAAACTCAACAAGGAAAATCCAAACAGGAGTTTTTCGTGTTTTTGAATGTTTTTGCACATAAAATGTATGTTGTGACCTTTAACCTGCATTACGTTGACACTAAACATTCCAGGAGATCCTGGCCCACGTGTTAGGATTTTACATGATATAAAACAAATTTGTTAGATATTTGTGCCCTAGCAATCAGCACAAATGCATTTCATTGGGCCGTCTGCATGTCAGTATGTCAAAAATATTTGTCATGTTTCAGTAAATATCTGTTTTTTCTCTAACTGCATCAGCAAGAGGAAACAATCCGTTATGAAAACATATCACTTAGACTTGTCTGTTTGTGTGGCACCCCAGGGGCCAGGCATTCAGACTATTTCATTTGTTGAGTTTTTAATTCCCGGTAGTTTGGTAGCTGACACAAAGAGGATCATGCAAAGTATCTGGCTGTCTGATTTACAATGTTACATTCCCCATTCTTCATTTCTCCACCCCCTGATTGGATTAGGTAGCCCTTCCCCCTCACCAGGACTTCTCCACTGAGTCCTTCAATAATTAATGCTGACAAAAAGGAAAACCAAGATATTTTCACCCAAATTCAAGAAGCATTCTTTCAATATTCTAGTAAATTCACAGAAATCCATATTTTTTTCTCCAGTTTTTCTGATTTGTGTTGACGAGTATAACAATATTAGGGACTGTCGTCTATATATATTCTTTCAAATATCAATGTTGGCAAACAATACGAATCATTCACACTGCAATATAGAACTAATTCTTTATCTGAAAGTTGCTCCTATACTATTTTCTTTTTTTATACATTTCTGGACACATATTTTTAGATACGCTAAATATTTAAGCAAGTGCATCGCAAAGCAATTAGGAAATCATGTTTGCTTATGTTTGATAGAATACCAGAAGCTAGGAATTTAACCTTTGTGTGAGCTCCTGAAAGTCGTACACTACTTACATATGTCTAGGAAATTCTGTAAAACTGCAGTCAATGGATGTCTGGTACTTATTTTGACATACCCAATTTTTGGTGAAGGTCATGAACACACTGACCATTGATCATGATACTTTCAGCAAAATACCCACACCTGTTCACACGTAATCTCTGTTTGTCCCACACATGAACTGGACAGATAACAAGACAGATATTTCAGAAAATTACGCAAATTTTGTCGTAAGTACTTACCTCGTAAGTTCCTGGGCCGGGGCCTTCTGACTTGATCTCCTTGAATCTCTTGTCTTTGGTCACCATCAGCCCACCCTTCTTATTGATGGCATCAGTATGCTGGTAGGCTCCTGGACCTGTAGAGACAGAAAGAACAGGATATTAGGATACATATAGCCATTCCTGTCTTTGTGGTCACCTGTACCGATTCTCCGTCTTATGTGACCCACCACTGTCTATTGAAAAGTCACTTTAGAAACTGCAATACTAAAACATTCTGACCAATACTACAGTCACTTGTACTAATACTTATACTGATACTAATAAGAAAGACGATGTTACCCCCTCCCCCAACTTCTACTTACTGGTTTGAAGGTCACCTTAAACAGTTGACTGTATGACAGAATAAAGCATCCTTATTGGTGGTCCGCTGACATTTGTAGTCTGAATAGTAGGTAGCTGTGAACAAACTGTGGCCCATCAATCAGTCACAGACCGTTTATTACCACACAACCATTAAAACAAGCACTGCCGAAAAACGCTCAAATACAGCATGTCATCTTTGATGCAGTTTATGTCATATAACCATTTATATTGCTTTTTTTACTGAATAATCAGATGGTTTTAATTTTCAAGTGTTCAAATTTGATTGATGAAATGCTGCCATTTCCTCCTTGGTAATACATTAGCTTTCACCACTGGCATCATTCAATTTACCAGCATAACATCAGTGTTGAGATTTCACAGAGAATTATCAAGACCATTGCTGACTTTCTTTTCAAAATCATCTCGTTACAAGTAACTGTTTTTATTGCGAGGAATGCTGCTTTCTTTAGTAGAAATATGATGAGAAACAGACTTGGTTGGAACTGGTGACCGTCTTCAGTGAACATGACACAGTGTGTGACATGGCACCTACTCGGAGACATGACACAAGCCGGCAAACTATTTCAAGAACCCTTCCAAACAAAAACGTGACTGATAAATACATCATATATTACGTGGAGATGTAATTTATGTCTATTCCCTAATCTGTTACCCAGCAGGTAAAACAATTTATATGGAAACTGTTTGCTAAAGCACCGTAACAAAGTGTCTACCAAATTGGAAGTGACTAGCTCCAAACTGGGAGGTTTTTTCTGTGTTGTATCAGCACCTCGCATTGTGTGTCGGGTCGTATGTAGAATCTCGGGTTGTGCAGTCCTTGCCCTGCTATCATAGACAGAAGAAACCCACTCATACAGTCTTTCTCCCCCAGGTCCAAATACATGGTTCTCCTCACTAGATATTGACTCTGACATCAACAATACCTTACCCAACTAAGCTGGTCCATTTCCTAACATGTCCACTTAACTTACCTTATGTATCTGACCCTCTCATTCTGACAGGGAAATAGATCAGCGACAGAATTAGATACCACATATCAAGTGGAAGGAAGCATGAACAATGGGCTTCAATTATTGTCAATGGGCCTTACAAGTTGTTTTAGCACACATTGACAAAACATTGTCTTTGTGCTGAGCAACAGCAAATATCCTGACACACATTTCAGCAAATATCTCCCTAATAAGACATATCTGGTTGTCATTGTGGGGAACTTAGGTTAAACATCCCTAATGAGACATTTCTTGTGGTCATCATGTTGACAACAATGGCAAACATCCCAACAATAAGAGATTTCTTGTCGTCATCTTTAAGGCAACAATAACAATTTTACCCAAAATTACACATTTCTACCAAAAATATTCTGGTGTTTAGTATGATCCCCGCAATAAGAAATCATGTAACAATTATTTTATATTTTCATGAATTAATAACCAAAAATACTGATGAAAGATAGCCATTGTAACATAATATGGGTGAAATGCAACTACATATACTTTTCATTTTTTCTTTAAACAGCATAAATAAGGCACACAAAAATTGAATTAAGCTATATTCCTCTATCTGGCCAGAAAAAGGAGTAAACAGTTATATCAAAACATAGTAGGATGTTAACTGAAGAAAAGAATTTAAGCAACAAAAAAATGAGATGTTTTTTTTATTTGATGGAGAGATCATTTTAATCCTACATCAATAAGTACAAACAATATTCAGAAGTCTTCCTGTATTAATCTAATTGATCACTTTAAAGGTCATAGACGTGTTGGCACAGAAATTATCTATACATCTCACTAAGGTGTTAATACAAAAAAAGCTAGGCCATGACCACTTTCTCTCCCTGATATTCATGACAAAAGAATTATTGTAGGATTCCGCGTTTTAAACTGTAATAAGAAAAGTTATTGATTTAAAACATTATCTTTATTACCCACCATCTAGCTATGATTCCCTAAACTCAATTATATGATTACAGCTCCGAATCTGAATTCCATTACATCAATAACTTTGATGACATCAGTATTGTACTTGGAGAATAATTGAATTTACCAAACATTAATTTCTCCTCCTGGTCCACAGATAACAATAATCTATCTGTAAAACCGCCCAGCATCAGAAAAAAATATTTCATTATCAGTCTCAAACTTGTTATCTTGATTAAGTTAGCGTAACGATACATATATACAAACACACCAACTTATTGGAAAACAATTCAATTATGAAAGGTAGTTTGGTGAGAGCCTGCCGAGTCTTACAGTTCTTACAACGCGTTGGAATCATTTTATGGAAATTGGAAAATTGAGGTTTTGTTAAAGTGCCCTGAAGGCTAGCCTAGTTGTACAGGGCTCTATAGGTAATAGGGAACACATCTAAACGAATGACCATCAAAACCAAACCAAACAGCACCAATGCTCTTTATACCACCGGCCTTTTTATATTGATTTGTTACAACAATTCAGAAGTAGATAAGTTTTATATAATTATACTGTGGACTGGCAGACCTTGAAAAGCAGATGTTTGTACATTGATATAAAGCACTCCGTTCCCTAGCTCTGACCACTTTATGTGATTTTTTGTCTCTAAATGACAGTTTGAATAATAAAAATGTCACAATAGCATATCTCTGATAGAACCATATATTATAAATTTTCCTGTTAAACGCAAGAATGCAGACCTCAACAAAAACGAGACACACAATTATTTATATGCCACACAGTTTATATTGGTAGTGTTTCAAAAATTAATACATAAAAGACTAAGATGAAATTTTACTGAATAGATTGTCGGACATTTTCTATGGGGTGACTATAAAACAACACACTACAGAACACCACTGCTTTTATCTGGTTTTATATAAAGTGAAATCTCTTGTTCCAGGTTGCCCAGAGTTATTAGTTTTTTTTGTTTATTATCACTAATCAGCCTAGAATGCCAAGAATTCTGTGAAGAAAAGCCAAGCAAATATGTAGCATTAATCTAATCAAGTCCTGAAATACAACAAAATGATAAAGTTTTATTATAAACAGCCTAGTGTGTATATCACTGGTAAGATAAAACAGTCCGCTAACAAGAGCCCACCATTTTATTGCATCAATATTATTTCCAGAGCACGGTGCGTCAGGTTCTAGCGGTTCCCCCGGACAAGGTGGAGAGGGTGAAGTTCTGAGGGACATGAGCCAAGTTTGTTCTACCATCGCCAATGGCAGTAAAAAGCATGGGCTGATTCTGATAAGATTATTTCATTAGAACACATCTCCCGAAAGGTTGAAACAAATTACCATTTCAGGTTACTGTACTGAACCTGGTGGAACAAAAACAATGCTAGAGTTCACTGCGTTGCTATTCCATCTGTTGATTGTGGCCACACTTTAGAAGTCATGATTTTTATCCACTGGACCAAGCAATCTCAGAAACAAACTGACAAGAAATGTGTGAAGGGTAACGGTACAAATGACAACATAAATCCCCATTATTTCCCCAATTTTCTGTATTTACACACATTTTATCTGATAGTGGGATATTCTGGTATGTGTCGGCTTGCCCATCTGAATCCATCAGCTGTGAAGAGCAACCTAAGGCAGGCCTTAGACCTCTAAATCTCCCCTTTGTTTCCTCTGTCTAGCTCCTATCCACTCACAGACAACAGAAATATAGCCAATTTTTACAAATTGCAGAGCATACTTGTCAATTTTATCAGACTGGCTAACTAGTATGAACCAAGATATGCCTAATGTAAATTGAACAGAAAGAGTTGCTGTCATAGGTTTTTATCTAAATAGCCATTGCTGGACCTAGTCCTGTCCAATTACCTCTCATGCCATCCTAAACAGCACCAGCAGTAAGTACTGCCAACTTCCTTACCTATCCCAGGACGATTCTGGGTAGTCCAAACAAGATACTGGATGATTAGGAAACCACTTCATTTAACAAAATTGTATTATCCTGTGACACTGGGTAAATATTATATAAGAGAATCATCAAAACAATCTGACATATGAAATGGGAACTGGAGAGACCCTCACCATGCACTCAGGATCGGAAGTGATTTTGGTTATGTTTGGTTCATACCCACGTTGTAACTCTCAAGAGAGCACTTGTAAAATGGGCTGAATTATGAAAAAAGATGATGAGGAAATCAGAGGAAAACAAGAAAAAAAGTGCATTTCTCCCCAATTAAGCAATACAGACTAGTCTGGTTTACTGAATGACACCGTATTTATGGAAAACAAACTAACCAACCATGTGGTAAACTTTCTGTAATTGACGGGGAACAAGCCACAGAAAATCTCACTAATAAGTCTGCATTGTGTTGTAGAAAAGGTGATTGTGATGACGCCTATTTCTTACTGATATATCAAAGTGTCTAATTCCTGTGTCCCTACAGTAACGAACCTCTCACAACAGACAGACTCTCACAACAGACTGCAGACTCTCACAACAGACAGACTCTCACAACAAACAGACTCTCACAACAGACAGAAAGACAGACTCTCACAACAGACTGCAGACTCTCACAACAGACAGACTCAGACTCTCACAACAGACTGCAGACTCTCACAACAGACAGACTCTCACAACAAACAGACTCACAACAGACAGAAAGACTCAGACTCTCACAACAGACTGCAGACTCTCACAACAGACAGACTCTCACAACAGACAGACTCAGATTCTCACAACAGACAGACTCAGACTCTCACAACAGACAGACTGGCTTATAAAACCATATTACCATCTAAATGGGTGATCTCTCAAG